ATAATTCAAACTTACAAATAGGATTGCAAGAATGCAAAGGAAGCAACACAACATACCTAAAGATGAAATGCAAAGAAAATGTTAAAAAATGGGACGCAGTCAAAGAAGAACTGGGAAGAGGTATATGTTTGTAATGTGTACAATTGTCATGACTAGGAAATGGGTGAAGATTGGTGTGAAGTTATATTCACTATTTGAATGATGGAAAGGTCCATCAGATTAAATCTGGAAAATTTCACATTTTTTATGAAAAGCTGGGATGATTTTAAATCACCATTGAGAACAGGATGTCGAAGAATACCAAGTGTTTGAGAGGACCCATTTTTGCAACAGTGACGATACCAGTGGGGTGAGGGTGGGGCTGGGCAGAGGAGGGCCCTGAGTTTTGACATTGAACTCAGACACACAACTTGACATTGCCAATAACGGTAATACAGAATACAGTTTTATTCAAAACTTGTATTCTTTAACTCCTGAGACTGCAATATATTTAAACTGGAGTTATGTTGATCGCTTATGTGATATATTAGCTTATACAAATGGCAGTAAACAGTAAATTATGCTAACAGACCAATACAAAACATAATGCCGGCAAACCAATATTGCTAAACTAAGGACTTTTTTGATCATCTCCTATTTTTAAAATGTTCTTCTATGAATTATTTTTATTTTTTATTTTGAGGAATTTGTATTAGGTCTTTCTGCATGGAGTTTGCATGTTCTCCCTGAGCATGTGTGGGTTCTCTCCGGGTATTCCGGCTTCCTCCCACAGTCCAAAAACATGACTGTCAGGTTAATTGGCTTCTCTTAGTTCTCCTTAGGTGTGAGTGTGTGCTTGAGTGGTTGTTTGTCCTGTTTGTCTGTTGCCCTGCAATGGACTGGCGACCTGTCCAGGGTGTACCCCACCTCTCGCCCATTGACAGCTGGGGATAGGCACCAGCACCCCTTGCGACCCCACTTGGAATTAAGCGTGTTAGATGATGGATGGATGGAATCAGTATTAAGGGATCACTACAAAAAATATGAGGAGTTATTGACTAAGTTTGATGTCATGGACAATGCAGATGAGTTTACTAGCAGTTCTTTCTCTCTCATAGGGCTGTTCCCTGAGAACAATTAGTGCTAACAATACTTAATATTTGCTGTAAATTTTAAAAGTTCTTTACTACACACTTCACACAAACAAGCCATCTAGTGCTAGTGCTACTCCTAAAACATCAAACGAACCAAAAGGCTATTTCCAAAAGTAAGAAGAAAATCTGTCATCTGCCAAATCAAAATAGATATGTTCATATTCTAAGTAGCTGCAAACCTTTTTGCTGTGGTCATAGCTGATGAACAGAAATAAAATTAGAAAGTACTTTTTCAATTTCTTAATTTCCAAGCCTTTTTATCCGCTGCAGCTTGTATTTGAGTTTGTATTTTGTTGTTCTTCACACAAACAAAAACTGCACTGCACCCAGAACTTGGCCCTCGTAGAGTCTCACTGAATAGTTCTTGAATGCATCTGTCAAAGAGTGTGGGAAAGTTTCTCCCACTGTTTGCTCCAAGCATCCGCATGGTAGTGATAAAATTTTATTAGCAGCACATCCAGGTCCAGGATGCTGTCAGGTACAGCATAGTAACATGCACTGGCATCATGTAGGGTCATTATAGAATAGCACAGTGGGTCGTCAAAGAATTAGAAGAAGAACTAGATACAATGGCCCTACGCCAAGAATGCTGCCCCATCCTGCCAACCCTGAGTGGTCGGTACTCAACCTAATTTATTGCATTAGTACGCTTTTTGGCAATTTGCCTCTCCTCTGGCCAACAAAAAGGAGGACTCGAAAAACTTGCTGCAACTAGTCCACAACCTTGATGTCAGTAGATAATGTGCCATGATTAAGCCTCTTGCTCTTAGTGATCAGTATGCACTGTGTATTTCACTCAAATAATGCATAGGCATAACTAGCAGGGTAGATTCACAACAACTTCTAAACTGAAGAAGACTCCAAGTTTAATTTTTAAAATTAGCATTTTATTTTCAAATTGCAAAAACAGCTGATGCATAAAACTTAATGAGGAAGTCAAGGAAAAATCGGAAGAACACATTTGACAATGCCCCCAGCTTGGCTTAACAAAACTTCTCAATGTTGATATATGAAAAATACAAACGTAAAAGTTTTCCTGCGTACATGTGGCTAAAATAATTGTGATGAATCCAGAATTCACCCCTGTGCAGCAATATGAACAGGAAAAAAGCTAAACGAACTTATGCTCCTAATGGGCTTTATATTAAAGCTTAAGCAAAAATTAAGTCTGAAAGAATCAGCTTCACCTGAACCACCTGTGATCAATGTCAGCACCGTCTCTCCTCCGAAGGCAAGCACCTTTCAAGATCCCCTCCATTTAGCTCCTGGCCTTGCTTCTCTCTCCCGCTTTCCATCAAACTTTCACCCACCTTTATCCCATCTCCACCTAAATCTCTCAGACTATTCTCAGTCCCACTCAAACTCTGGCTTATTCCACTACCAGTGTCGGACCCTTGGGGGGGAAGACTAGTCTAATCCTTTTCCTAGCTTACTCATCCGAACGAATGTAATTTTTCCAGTCTTCTGCCAGGGCCCAAGCTGAAAGAACTGATTTAATTTATTTCAATATCTGTACTGTATATCTTCTTTTGTCTCCTTGATCCCCGGTTGGCCTTGGCAGATGGCCGCTCACACTGAGCCTGGTTCTGCTAGAGGTTTAATCCAGTTAAAATGGAGTTTTTCCTCTCCACCGTCATTACAAGCGTGCTTGGTGTTTGGTGTGTACACTGTCGAGTCAATGAGTCATTTGACATGCAAGCAGCTGGTCTTCCTTAGAAAACATTTGACCAATTTCAGTGGTCCCTAATGAGTGCCTGAGGTTGGCATGTGTTGTGGATTGGCGCTGTATAAATAAACTGAATTGATTTGAATAAAACTTTTCTAATTGCAGCTTTTCTCTGTCTTAATTATTAATATCATTACGATGAAATATTTACCTCCATTTGGAACTGTTCAATCATGGTCTTGAAAACCACAGAGCAGTCTGAATTCAGCATTACTCCATATTTGGCCAGAGGGCATTTTGAACTTGATAAAGGGGCCAAAACACTGTAATCTACCATTCCAACTACTGTCTGATTACGATAAAATGTTCTTCTTTTACAGTCATGGAATACACTGCGTAGTAAACCCTACTGATCCTGCTATCTTGATCTAACCAATGTGGTTCATCACATCTACTGTCAATAAAACTAGTGTATCAATAAACAAATTAAACCTGAAATAAAAAAGAACAGCAACACCTAGAGCCAAAAGTTGCATATGGTATATGCCAGTTGGGAACCAGCTTAAACCAGTTTCCAAAGACATCAGGCATAAGCCAGTTCCCAACTGGCATAAGCCGGTTCCCAACTGGCATATACCATTTTTCTAAACTGGCATGCTAGATACCACATTTGTTTTATAGTTGTCACTCAAAAGAAAACCCTATATTGGCTCTGCAATTGCTCAGTAATTGTTTAGGCTAGTTTGTGGTCATATATTTGACAGTAGATTTTATGCACATAAGATGAAAAGAAGTTTTCAAGATCGTACTCTATCTGAAAATTGGAAGATGATTAAGATGGGATGAATAACCACAAAGTAGCAAACCTTTATATGTCCTGTTGATCAAAAGTTTCTGTGAAGATGGATTTTTGTTAGGAACATTTTTTCATCAAGTTAAGTTCTCATAAAAATTTTTAGTTATTACAAGCATTATAAAGGGAAGAGTAAAATGATCTGTGAAAGATTTAACAGTTTCCCTTTTGATTCATAAAAATGTAATAGGCTCTGTCTAGACCACTAAAACAAACAACTCTTTCCCTTGTTAGTAAAATTGCCTCCAGAAGTGAACATTAAATATTGTAAATTTTTGCTGTGCATTTACAATAATCTACTCTACACTATTTGCGACTTTTCTTATGCTTCAAATCAATGAAATAAAAATCCATGTCCTCTGTGTTAGAAATTCATCCTTCTGCTGTAACAGTTCATTTCACATTACTTATTTATGATCTTATTGGACCATAAAAATGCCCTTATCCAACCCTTTAAAAAATGATCTTATTTGAGGCACATTGCATGCACTTTTATCAGTATGGATTGCTGACAAATTGCTTTTCACCGAGCAGCAATCGGTCAATTTGAATGTTCAGGCCTTGAGAAACACTTTGTCAAGAGGTACTTGTTTGAATGATACTGTGCAGGAAAATGTAACAAGGCAGTAAATGCAGTCATTCAGCCCAGGGCAAAACACATGCAGGGAAGATTTTCCTCCATAAATACAATGGGTATTGTAGCAAGTCATCTGAACATAACGATTAAACCGGGTCAAGGTGGGGATATATTCACAACGGTCCCAATTTATCTTATGCTAATTATCTTTATTTATTTTTCTATTTTGTTGTTCCCGCCTCTTGTCTTCCTTTATTCCTTTTTGTTTGCAGTTTGGATCACTTTAAACTATACAGTATTGCCTGTGAATGTAAAAACTATAAACCTCTCAGATAACATCAACATTGAATGTGATGTGTGTCAAAGAGAGCAAACACATTAGACATATTAAAAAAGAAAAGTAAGAATCCAATGGTTTGTTAACATGTTATATGATGAAAATGTGTGGGAATTCAATGGGCAGTTATTATGGAAAAGAACCTGACAGCTCCAGTAAACTGCTTCCCTTACGGCCATCGATATGCAGAAATTGAGCAGTGCTAGCTTATTTTAAAGAGATAAAACTGATATAGATAAAAAAATATATTTAAAAAAGTGGCACAAAGTGGACATGTTCTTTCAAGCCTTTTAAGAATTTATGGTCCTGGTGGGACCTAAACAAAAGGATTTTCTGCTTGCTTGAGCTAAGTATTGTTAATGTTTCACCAACATATTTTTAAAGCATTATATCTTTTTTCTTTACTCACCTGCATATTTTCTTTTTCTTTCCAGGCCTTTGATGCTTTTATCTACATCTTCTTTGCACTGGAGATGGTGATAAAGATGGTGGCTCTCGGAATCTTTGGCCGCCGCTGTTACCTGGGAGATACCTGGAACAGGCTGGACTTTTTCATCGTAATGGCTGGGTGAGGTTTTTTTTTTTAGCTTTTTTACAGAAAGCAAAAATAATATTTGTAGCTAATATTAAAACTGAATGTGTAAGACTCAACCAATTATATCTTTGTCCTAGGTGTTATTATCGCCAATTATCCCTCCATCTACTCTTATCTGGTCCTTTAATGATTGCAGAGGGAGTCTCAAGTTATCCAAGCTGACACTGAGCAAGAGAGAGAGCAGACAGCATAGTTAAATTATCTTATTGTAATATCAGACTAAATATATTCACTTTAAACTCTGCACTAACCCATTTACTGTAGGTAACTATCCACTGAATTGTTTTGATGCTCTATTTACATTACAATGCAAGTGTCTGTTTCAACTTCCAATTGCAAACTTTATTTGCTGGGATTTTATTTTATTGTGACTGACAGAAAGATTTGCACACCTGTATAACAGAATAAAAAAATAATAGATTTCTATTGGAAATTCTTAAAGATAATACTTGAAATAGCATTTTTCACATTTTTTACTTTACTTTCTTACCTCCAAATAAAAGACAAGGCAACCAACTGCCTTCAGATGTTTTGTAATATATAAAAATAAAAAAACTTGAGTGTCAGGTACTGTTAGCAGTAAAAAAAGAGAACTATTTATTACATCTAGGGCCAGGAATTTGATGTGTTTAATTTGATTAATTTAACAACTTAGAAAAAATCAAGTACCTCCAATGAGTCAGGCAGGTGCCAAGACGCCAGATCAATGGCAAGAATAAGTCTTGGGCAATAAATAGCCTTACTCTACCAGTAATCAGATCCCTTGCAGGAATAATAAGCTGGCCAAAGGATGAGATACAGGCAACAAATGTTAAGACACGAAAGCTCCTAAACATGCGCGGAGGGTACCGCCCCAAATCCAGCACCCTATACGCTAGCCGAAAGGAAGGAGGTTGAGGACAAGTGAGCATGAGAGCCACTATCCAGTATGAATATCCAAGATCCATCAGTAGATCAAGGACAAGGCTCCATCAGACGATGTGCTGAGTGAATGTCTCAGACAATAGGGAACAGAAGAATAAGTTCTGTCATGGGAGGACAAGCCCCTACATGGGATGTACCAACAAAACATAACCCAAGTGGTGGATATCAGGAAATCCTTCCAAAAGCTAAATAAACTGATTGGAGGACAGCACAGAGGCACAAATCATGGCTGCAAAGGAGCCGACTCTCAGCACCAGAGCAATAGACACCCAGATCTACCACACCAGACAAGACCCCAGGTGCAGACATTGCAAAGAGGCCCCTGAGACAATCCAGCACATAACTGCAGGGTGTAAGATGCTGGCAGGGAAAGCTTGCATGGAGCGCCTGTCCAAGTGGCTGGAATAGTATACAGGAACATTTGTGCAGAGTGTGGGCTGGAAACCCCAAGGTCAAAGTGGGAAACACCTCCGAAGATGGTAGCGAATGACCGAGCAGAGATCCTGTGGGACTTCCAGATACAGACGGACCGAATGTTATTGGCAAACCAACCAGACATTGTGGTGGTGGCAAAAAAAAGCTTAAGAAAGCCGTTGTGGTTGACATAGCACAACCAAGTGACAGCAACATCAGGAAAAAGGAATATAAAAAACTATAGAAATACCACGAGTTATCTCTTAAAAGCAATGCTTTATGAACATTAATGCAATACACTATTCATCTTACACTTCTAATGAGTTTGCATAAAATATCAGGGATTTCTAAAAAAAAAAAAAAAAAAAGATTAAACTTCCAACAAATCTGATTAATGAATAAAAATATTTATTTTTGTGCTGCTATACTCTTATTTTCTGTATTCAGCAATTTAGGACCAAACAGGTTTTTTTTGTTTTTTTTGTTATTTTTTTATTTTGACAATGTTTGGTTTTCTTTTAAGTTGCTTTTAATTCAATCTAAAAAATATACAGAGAAAAGACAATTAGTCGTTTCCCCCCCAGACCTGAAACTGGTGGTGAGTGGAGATAGACGAAGTTGGTCAGTCTGTAGACTGCTTGTTAGTGAGACGATATGCTGAGCTTAATGGGGAGATCCAGTGGATTGCGTGAGCTGATACTAGAGCTTCACTCAAGGACCTGGAAGATGGAAGTCCAGTTGGATAACATAGGTTGAAAGAACCTGTCTATGATGAACAAGCATGAAGCAACAGTGGAGAAGAAAAACTCCCAGTTGGGAAGAAACCTCTGGCAGAACCAGGCTCAACAGGGTGGTCTTCTGCCAGACCGGTTAAGATGAGACAGGGAACGCAGTAAGAGTCCGGGAGGAATGACACTCTGATGAAGCTTTAGCTACGAAGGTGGAGGAGGGGCTGGAGATGGGTTGAAACAGTGTCATCTGAATGAAGTCACGGCACATCTGCCTCCTGCGCACAGGAGCAGACAGGTGCGTAGCGGAGGCCCTTTTAAGATTAACTTTGGATACCGATTGAGTTCCACCACTAATAAAAACATATAAGATCAAATGTATAGAAGGATAGCAAAATCATAGTACTCTGTGAAAACACAAGTCTGGTGTGAGGTTTGCCACACAATATTTTACAGAACATATATAGAGGTAGGTGTTCTGGTAAAATGTAAACAAATTTTAACTCTGTGGTCTACAAGTACCGGTAGTAATTCTGCCTTTATGTGGTCTGGTAAAAATAATCCTTACAACTTGTAAAGTGGAAAATACCAGAGCACCAGAGAAAAACATGTTGGATCCAAAGATTAACTCCACCTGATACTTGGGCAAGACAGTAATGAACTTCGTACAGTAATTCATCAGGGGATGAATCAAATGCATTTATGTATTTTTTTTAAATACATATGTCAAGCATTGTGTAAGCTACAAACACAACAAGAGAGAACGCTTAAAGCTAAACTGTTCACCATACAGAATAGTTTCTCTGCTCTCCGCCATTTTGAAAGGTAAAAGTTTATCTCATTTCAGCAACTCCAGTATCATAGAATTTTTTCAGCTTTCGGTGGAAATTACAACATGAGTGGGTGGTAATGTGCAATATTGATGTCTACTTTTGGTATTTGCCATAATCACGATACCACATGATAGCACCATTTAAGTACCATTTGTAAAACTTGCATTGCCAAGTATACCCTTCCCAGAGTGAATCATGGAGGTCATAGGATCATGGTAGAGGATGGTTTACTTCAACCAGAACTGATAAGCTTGTCAGAGTTGATAAAAAGATGGCAATAATACATGTCAGGCCTGAGGGAAAATACTGTTACCGACTGCAAAAGCAACTGAGAACTGGGGTGGAAGTTCACCTTACAGGAGTTCAGCAACCCTGAAGATATTGGTCATTCAGGGCAGATCAAAGTTTATAGTATTGTAAAGCTAGTATAAGGCAAAGTCCATAACAAAATCCAATGATTTCAATATACCGGTACCCCTTCCCTAGATGTACTAAGCTGGTGGCTACTAATGAAATTTTATTTGTCATTTTCATGTGTAAGATTTCTTGAAAAACATCAGATTTCTTCCACCTTACAGATATGTATCTCACTGCATGTGCATAGCATAGATTCCTTATGATGCATCAGAGTCTGTGGTTGTATTAGGGCCAATGAAAAAAAGTTCAAAGGTTATTACTGCTTTTAACATTCACCTTATGGATTCATGGATTTAGTAAAGCTAATCCTCTAATTGTAAAGCAGTTAAAGTGAATGTTAAACTTGACATTTTTCATTTTTTCTTCTCCATTTACCATGTGACAGTTCTTTTTGTACCTGTGCCAACCGAATGCTAGCCAAACTTTTTTTTCTTTATTTATATATATAGTTAAATCACAAACAGCTCTTTGCATTACTGAAACTATAAGATAAATAACATGTGTTTAGCATCTCAACAAGTTTAGGCTGCCAGTAACTTTCAAAGCAGCCGAAAAGAATATACTAGTAGTAGATGCTAGTAGCATCTGAAGAAGCCTTTCACACATGAAAGTGAACATTTTAATTTGAATATTAAAAGAAATATCACTAATCTATTATTCTTAGAACTAAAAATGGTAAGGGAATGGCTGAATGTAAAATGCTTTTAAGTGACATGATGCACCTGCTTGTGCCTGCAATTACCTTACCACACACGTCAGCATTATACAAAAGGGGCTTGTGGATGGAACACACACATCCATAGTCATGATGTTCTTCCCAAGATTTAATTGCTGTTTCCATGGAACACGATGCATGGACACAAACACACACATGCAAAGAGAAATAAACCAGATCTGCTCAAACACCTCCTTTGATCCAAGTGAAAGAAGATGCTCTTATGTGGCTAATAAAGCAAATATGAGTAGGTGTTTGCAGTACGTATGATGCAGCGCATCAGTCTGTTTGAACACTGGAATAGGATTGTAAAGACACGCCCTGCATATCAAATCATTTAAAATAGTTTTGCTTTCATATTAAGAAAAGGAATTTACAGTTTTGAGGACAATTTTTGTAGCAGAATTTGCACTTTTAAATAGCACAGAATTGTGTTTTTGTATGTGAGAAAGACAGAAATTTTGATAGGGAGTATGCCTGTTCTGTTGGCAGAAAAAAAAACAACAGGTTTCCAGACTTAGCAGGGTAGGTGGAGGGACATTCATCTTCGTTTGACCCGAATTACTTTATCCCCAGTAGATGTGCAGAGCCTTTCAGTATGACTGTATGTGTGCTTTTCAGGCTTAGCCTTGGCACCTCGAGTTTATCATTGCAGAATGTGTATGTGTGAATGGCTCTTGTCTTTGTTTTTCTTCTGAGCAACTGTACATTCGGTCAGAGCCCAAGCTCTTTTTTGAGGGCATGTCCAACATTTCCTGACCAAATCACAGCAGGCATTCGGGTTATGAGCTCTGTCTTTTTTCTCTTTCTGTTTCCAATGGGTATCACCTCGCTATTCCACAGTCCTTCTCCAACCTATCTGTCCATTTGTCTCCTCATCCCTGCTTCAAACACTATGCAGATCATTACTTAAATGACCAATTGTGCTCTACTTTATTTTGC